GACAGCTCCCTGCCTACAGGTGGTATCCTTCAATTTCGGAGGAGCTAGTCGGAGGGGCGTCAAGGAAGTAAAAGATGTGGACTCTGGTGGTCAGATGGCCCCCAAGGTGGGCAGTTGGATTGCCGCTTGCCTGTATGATGAGGATACACATGATGTTATTTTGTAGAGAGTTTGTGGTCACATGATGAATCATTAGGTCGGAATACTACGTCGAACGAGGTGATGGAATAACAGCCGTACACTGTTAATTGTGTTGTCATGGAGGATTGTTGTAATGATGGCATGCTACATCCTTTCACATTGCTAACAAGTCTCGTTGGGTTTATGCTAACGTTTCGAGTCGAAACTAAGATGCGGCAAGTTGGGACAGAAGGGAGATTATTCTACGAGGAAAAGGAAATGAACTACAATGGAGTGATTAGGGATTGGATTGTTGCCAGGGCTGTGTTCGCGAAGTTGGTGTGTAGCTATTTTGGCAACAAAGGGACTCCTGCTCATTATCTACTACCTCAATAACTCGGATCATTTAAACGGTGTAATAATCTTCTTGCAATGATAGAATAGTAAGGATATCGTCAATATTACTCAGCAGGGGAACTGTCAGTACTGATGCTGCTACTCGGTGGAGAGGCAGCGGCGCTTCCACCATTCTCGAGGTTACCAACATTCGCAGTAGTCGAGGTAGGAGCTCGGCGATGATGCCGCACCCCACCACCAAACCGTGGAGGAAGGCTAGGCTTATGTGCTGTCTCTTGATCAGCACTATGAAGGGAGGTCTGCCCGAGGGACATCACATAATATACACTTGAATATGCATTCCCGCCGCTTACCGCTCCCGGACTATTATTACGACTACCCAAGCCAGCACTGAGCCCACCGCCCCATACGTTAGCATCTGGACTCTCCGGCGACCCTTGTTCATGTTGTTGGCTTTGAGTGTTGGGTGAGAGAGTACCACCGTATCTGAGGTACTTAGAGTACATCCCTGTAGTCAGCTACCTAACGACGACTCACATTGCAACCCGTCGACGTTTATTCTCAATGTCATTCGAATCCTTTGATACCGTCATCCCTGACCTGAACTTCCATGCTGCTTTGTGGCTCCACAAGAGACATGATCACTTATAGGCCTCCATTTCTGCCTCTATTAAGGCAACCCTCAATTCAGCCTCAGCCACCTCGAACTGTTCTTCTATTCCACGCTCACACAGTGCCGTCGCTTGCCTGAAAATGTGGCGTTAAGGATGTCGAATAGGTCGTAACCTACCTGATAGCAACGTCGATAACAGCTGCAGTGGTGGTATCACAGTAGTCATAAGCGGCTTTTAGTTTGGGATCATCCAGGACACAAGCCGGCCTGAATCACAGTGAGTCATTCCTCGAGCAGTATAGTAGGTTGCACCATACCCGGGAGGAGCGACCAAATCGTCTAGACTGAGCTCCTTGAAAACAGGCTTCGCATTAGTGGGGTCCTCTTTCTCAGTCTCCCCTTGGGATGACCGAGAGGCATCATGCTTATCTGGATCAGTTTTAACGTGTTGACCGCTTCCATCACTAGGAGTTGATCGATGTTGGCTGAACAATGGCCAAAGCTTTAGATGACTCAAACAATGGATCCTTTCTTACACGTCAATCTCCTTCATACCATCACTCCTGCTACTGTTAGCAATACCACTAAGCTGATGGCCTTCACTTTTCATCATTGACGATATTGGGTTTGCACTGGCTAGATACTGTTGAAGTTGTTGTTCGGGTGCCATCACTCCTCCTGGTACCTTGATGACAGAATTATGAGGATACCACAACCTGCGACCGACCCCTGGCTGCGAGCCAAATGCTTGGGGTTGTTGTTGATGATGTTGTTGTTGTTGCATGAGAATGCTGCTGCCTGGCGTTGGGAATCCTGAAAAGATGTCTCCTAGTCTTAGTAAGATGAATGATAGTAATTACCAGGGAAGCCAGAGGGCGGCGGAAGGGTGGGGTAAGCAGCCATAGGAGGATTGGGTATAAGAGGGATGCCAGGCATCATACCATAAGGTGGCATCATGGGGTATGTCACTGGTAGAGGCCCTGGTAAGCCCTGTGGTGGGAGGGGTGATGGCGTCGGCTGGATGGTAGAACCGAACGGGGGCAGAGGGGGCTGTGGTTGTTGTTGCTGCGAGTTGTTGTTGTTGTTGTTGATGATGATGTTATACGGGTTATAGGACATTATAACCGCAAGGATGTCATCATGAAAACGACACTGTAAGGATACTGACGAGTGTGCTTACCACGGCCTGAAATTAATACGTATGCATTATTCGGAAACAACAATGGGCAGAGTGGATATAAGAGGGATAACTCCATGAATATGGGGGTAATAGCTATTACACTTATCGTCATCATCATTACTCATATTACTAGCACCACTGAACGAACCTAACAGCTGTTAGCTTGATGGTAACCTCGCATACCCAATATGTCCACCATGATGCCCTCCCTAGGCTGTTACATGTCTTTAATATGTCTTCTGTTCACTTGAATGATTGGATCATGTAAGATAATCGTCTGTTGACCATCATACCCAATGTTCTTGTTGTGTTAATGCCATCATACTCT